TTGGCCAGCAGCCAAGAGCTCTCTCCTCCAGCCAGGGGTCTTCAGCCAGCTCCAGTCACTGTGGGTGTGCAGGACAGGCCGGCCCCTGTGCGATGCCTTGTCTCCACTAAAGCCAAGAGGGGGCAGTTTCTCAGTCCCCCACAATGTGGAAAATATTAATGGCCTCTTCCCTACTGTCATAGCAACCACACTTTTTACAAAGTAGGGCTTCCCTAGTGGCACAGTGGTTAAGAATCCGCCTGCCAATGCAGGGGACACGGGTTCCAGCCCTGGTCCAGGAAGATCCCACATGCCGCAGAGCAACTAAGCCTGTGCACCACAACTACTGAGCCTGTGCTCTAGAGCCTACGAGCTACAACTACTGAGCCTGCGTGCCACAACTACTGAAGCCCGTGCGCCTAGAGCCCGTACACCGCAACAAGAGAAGCCACCGCGATGAGAAGCCCGCGCACCACAACAAAGAGTAACCCCCACTCGCCGCAACTAGAGAAAGCCCGCGCGCAGCAACGAAGACCCAACGCAGCCAAAAATAAATAAAAACAAATAAATTTTAATAAATAAATAAATAATAAAAAGTATCCAACCTTCTATTGTGTGTTGGATGTGAGATTGACATCAATTTTTCTAACACCAAAAAAAAAAAAAAAAGCTGCTCTATGCCATTTTTTTTAATTAAGGTAAATTAAAATGCCTCTGGTTTGAAGATATTTTAAAGACTTTTGTGACAGCCTGAAGATTGTTACTGCCCCCCTGGGGCTCCGGCTGATTCCAGCTGCGACAGCGTCTGCGATCTGCCCTCCGGCCAAGACCCCAGGGCAGACGCCCCCAACCTGGCATGGGGACAGAGTCCCAGAACCCGCCCTGAGACCTGGACGCTCCCAACTCCTGCTGGGGGTCGGAACGGATGCTGCCTTTGGGGAGCGCCATGCCCGGTGCTTATGAAAAGCCAGATTTAATATACATGCCACCTCCAGTGGGTGCTACCAAGCAACACCAAAGAGTGGAGTTCCAATCCATCTCACAGTGTGGGTGACCTCAAGAACAGGGTGCTGGTGGAGGGAACCAGGCACTCTCCCCCACGTATTGTGATTCCACTTGTAGAAGAGGCAACTCCAAGACAGAAAGCAGATTAGCGGTAGCCGGGGGCTGGGGCAGGCATTGGAAGGGAGCGCTGGTGGGGACGGGGGCTCCTTAGGGGCAGCGAGATGTTCTCCAATTGATTGTGGTGTTTGCACAGCTCTGTGAATGCACTAAAAATCACTGAATTGTATGGCACATGAATTATATCTCAATAAACCTGTTTAAAAAAAAAAAGAAATCACTATACAGTAATAACGTATTTATTCTGAAAAAAGAAATGTATAAACACATATACCCTCTTACCTAGCGATTCCACTTCTAGGAATTTTTCCTAAAGAAATAATGAAGGACGTGCACATAAATGCTTTCACACTTTAAAAAAGACATTAAAGTGTCAAGTGAGAGGGCTTTGAATAAATTACGGTGCATGCATTCACTAGAACACTGCACAAATGGCAACTTAACTCAATGTGGTAGAAACGCACCTATTGACATGGATGTGTGTTCACGATAAACTGTTGAGTGAAATTAACAGGGAACAAACAGCAAATGTGGATACTGTCAAATGATATGCCTCACCTACATGGGAGAGCGGTCGCTGAATTATACACAGGGACTACTTCCAGATAAGGGCTTTGGGAGGATTTTTTCCCCTCCTTCTTTCAATTCTCAGGATCATCTAGCTTTTCCATTTTGATCTGTGTTACTGGTGCAATAAACTGGTATGGGTTCTTTTTTGGAGATGGCCAGAGGGAGGGCAAGTAAAGAGAAGGATGGTCTGGTCTGAGCAAACAGAGTCTTTTGGGGGAGCAGAGCAGAGCGGCCTCTCCAGCAGAGAGGGCTCTTGGAGCTGAGGACCTGGGCACCTGGGCAAGACCTGCCTCTCTGGTCCTCCGTCATGTATAAAATATATGATAAATCCCACCTGGAATCCTCGCTCCCATGCTGAGCCCCAGAGGCCCCGAGGAAGCCACTGAAGGAAGACAGCTGTGGGTGCAGGAAGCCAGCCCCACATCCTCACGTCCCAGGGACCAGGCCTGGATGACGAGCTCGGGCCCCGGGCCAGCAAGTCGGCACTGTGCCTGCTCCCTTTGCCTGTGCATCATTTCCTGTTACTCAGCGTCACTCAGCCCGGGAGATGCCAGCCTGGGGCCGCGCCAGCTGCTGGGAGGAGCTGCTGCCTGTTCCGGGCACGCTCGGCTGGGTTTGGGTAGCCCGGGCCTGAGTGGAGTTGACAGCGCTGTCTGCTCCATCCCGAGGAGGGTAGCTCTGCGAGCAGACACAGCAACACCCAGCGCCTGCCTGAAGTGGGGCAGGACCCCCCAGCTTAGCCCCGGGCCCGCCGCCCCTCCATGGCCCTGCACAGGTGCAGGAGGCTGTGAGACAGGACTACCCCAGACACCAGCCTCGGGTGATGAGGCCGGAGGTTCCATCGGGACAGTGGCAGGGCTGTTGCAGAAGGACAGCACGATCCGATCCGGCCCATGGCGTTAAGTGAGCACGTACTAACTGCTCTAATGGGCTGTTTCCCTTACCCCTCACACCAGCCGGGCACCCAGGCTTACAGATGAGGGACCAAGGCTCAGGAAGTTTGTTGCCCAACTTGATTACTAGCTGGGCCCAGACTCAAGTCTGCCTGAGTGGGGAAGCTGTGCCCCAGGCTCGCTGCAGAGGGTCTGGGTTGCCAGGGTCGGGCTGCCCACCAAGCACCCACAGGCCTCCAGACTGGGCCGGGGGCCTGGCAGCTCCATCCCCGTGGGGAGGCAGGGAAGAGGCTCCATCTGAAAGACCGACAGAGCAGGCGGGCAGGGTCCCGGTGGTCATGGCCTAGGGCAGCCTGTGGTCTCCAGAAGCTCCCGCAAGACAGGCAGGGCCAGGAGCCCGGGCTGGGCCTGTGCCCTTGGGGAGGAGAGGAAAAGTGGAGCCCGCCCACTGGGGGAGGGCCTGTCCCAGCTCTGCTTCCCAGGAAACAGGCTGCAGGAGCGTGGGCCCTGGAGGCCCCCCTGTAAGGAGCTGAGGACAGCAGGTGGGCAGAGAACAAGGCGGGCCTGCAGTGAAGGTGCAGCGGCCGAGTTTCCGCAGGTCACACGGGGTGGGGCTGGGAGGGGGGTGGTGTTGGGGGCTAGGCCACCACTTCAGAGTTGCCTGAACTGAGGTGAGGGGGACAGGCCTCCACACCCCCTGCATCAGGTCATCACTGGCACAGGCCCCCGAGGGGGCAGCAGCCTTGGACCAGGAGGGTCCAGGTGGCCAAGGGCGGAAGGTGGTGGCGGTGAGCACGTACTGATGGCAGCTGGGACCGGAAGAGGGCACCTGGGTAGAGGCAGCCCCCATCCTGCCCAGAGAGGGCTGGGGTCAAGGCAAGGCCCCCAGGGCTCCTGTCTGCCATGGGGCCAGAGACGAGCCCTCCTGGTACCCTGAGCCTGGGTCCTCCATGCTGGCCACGCTCCTGGCTTGTGACTGCCGTGCCCACAGGTCCTAGTGGGCTTTAGTGGCTCACTTCTCTGGCTTCCTTTCCAATCGCGGATGTCAAACCTCAGGGCACTGCCTGGGTCCCTTTCTAGAGGGAGCTGATGCGGGACAGCAGGTGATAGGGGAGGGCCTGGATTCCCTTCCTTCCCCTGTCCTCTGGCAGGACCCTCTGTGCATCCAACCCCTCCCCCCCCCCCCCCAATCACAGCCCGGCCAGACACCCACGGCCATGCTCACCTGGTTGAAGGTGGCACAGCCCTCAACACAGCCCCTCACGGGGCAAGAACGCTACGTTCATAAAAGCAGTGTTTTTTCTCTCTTTGAAGATATCGGAACTCACTGCGGGGGAATCCAAACCACCCAGCTGAGCAGAAATGAAAAGTCTCCCCAGATCCCTACCCAGCTCGAACCTTCTGCAGCTTTGGTGCCACCCCCTCCCTGGGCCCCCTTGCAGGTTTGCAGAGGTTGAGGCATAGACCCGCATCCGTGCTCCCACTCTCTAGGTGTTTCACTCGACAGTGTGATGTCCATCGTGTCCAGATACAGATGTGCATTCAGCCTTTCCAGTTACACGTGTCAAACCTCAGGGCACTGCCTGGGTGCCGAGGCCTCTGGGCGTGGGGCGGTGTCCCCCATCCCCCGACAGTTCAGGAGGATCGGAGAGGTGGGCGCCGGGACAGAACCTACAGGACCCCCAAGCAAGTGCAGAGAGCCCGCCAGGCCTTGGTGCCCTGGCCTGGGAAGCAGGGTCTGTTGACCGCACAGCTGTGACCACATCTGGTGAGTGGGAAAGCTCTCAGGGACGTGCGGGTGGCAGCAGGGAAATTGGAGCCGAAGAAGCAGAGACAGCCCGGCTGCAGTAACTTCTTTGCTCAATCAATAGCTATTTCCCGGCTCCAAATTACTTTCTTTTCCCCCTGAAACCATCGGAGGCAGCTACTGCCGATCAGCTATGACACGTTAAAGAAATGCTATTGGAATTTCCAGGCCTGAGAGGGTTCTCCTGACCCAGTGCTTGCTCAGCCATCCCTGGCAATGCCACGGAGAGGACAAGACGTAAAAAGAGCTAATGGACCCAGCTGAGCAGCTCGGCTCCAGCCACGGGGCAGCCAGGACCTGCAGGAGGCTCAGGGTCCCCAGAGCGGCCTGCTGGGGCCTCCACACCACGGCGGAGTGGGCGCCAGACTTCGGCATCCACCCTGTCCCTCCCTCCCTGGGCCCCGACTTTTTCTGTTTGTTTTGTTTTTGTTTTCGTTTTCTGTTTTGTTTTGCTAATTGCTTTATAACCACAACAAACTAGTACAGAGAAAGCCCTGTACAAAACAACACAATAAAGATCGAGGTGTTCCCTTAGGCAAGGCTGAAGATTTCAGTCTCTGGTATTTGGAATCTAGGTTGCAGTCCTTGTTTTTGGATGGATCACTGGGTGTGTGGCACAGTCCATGCTTTTAACCAGATTTGAACAGGAGAACGGCCACTTGGCTCAGGTAGAAGTAGATGAAGTGTTTGGTTTCACGTGTCACATAACTACCAAAGCTCCTCCCCACAATGCAGTGCCAGGCAGGGTTGTACTTCTTGTCAAACTCCTTCCTGACACGGGCAGCAACGTCCTTCTCTATAGTATATTTCTCTAGTTCCTGAGTAGCACTCTCCACCGAGTCCTGTTGCATCTCCTCTGACATATTGGCATTTTTCATCACGGCCTTTCGGTCACACGTGGTTACCAAGGGGCAGGGGCTGACCGACTGCAACGGCGGCGCATCTATGGAGCCCCACGCCAGCCGCCGCTGCCTAGTCATGGGCCCGACTGTTAATTGCCCCAACTGCATGCCAGGCCGAGCATGGGGTACGAGCCCACAGAAATGACAGAGACGAGTGCCCTGCCCTCTGGAAGCAGGCAGGATGGGAAGCCACGCAGAAGCAACTCTCGGAGGGCTAAAATAACCAAGCTGGGGCCGTGTGCTCACAGCAAGAGGGAGTCCATCCCCCCAGCAGGGCCCTGGGGACCCTAAGCCTCCCAGCATGGATAAGAGAGCCTCTGGCAGGCTTTTCCTGTAATGGGAACCCGTCTCACCTGTTCCCAAATGTAGTGGATTGAACGGGGGTTCTCAAAAGGTATGTCCGTGTCCTTACCCCCAGAACCCGTGAATGTGACCTTGTTTGGGAAAAAGGTCTTTGCAGATGTAATTAAGTTAACGATCTTGAGATGAGATCATCCTAGATTAACCGGGTAGGTCTTAAATCCGCTGGCAAGTGACCTTATAAGAGACACAGAGACAGAGGAGAAGCCACATGAAGTTGGAACAGAGACTGGAGGGATGCAGCCACAAACCAGGGACACCTGGGCCACCACGAGCTGGAAGAGGCGGGAAGGATCCTCCCCCAAAGCCTCTGGAGGGAGCGCAGCCCCGCCGACACCTTGATCATGGATTTCTGTCCTCCTGAACTGGGAGACGATAAACTCCTGTTGCTTTCAGCCCCCCAGTTTTGGGCAGCCCCAGGACACTCACAGACCAAGCACAGAAAACACTGAGCCCAACAGCAAAGCGTGTGGTTCAGGTGGGAGTCCCGGCTACTAGCTGTGTCCTTGGGCAAGTTACTTAACCTCCCTGAGCCTCAGTCTCTATATCTTAAAATGGGAACAGTGCTAGAATCTTCCAGAAGGTTGGGAGTGATTCCATGAAATGACATCCGGCACATGAAGAGCCATGTGAAGGGGTCACCATTCCTAGGCCCCCTCCCTGAGGTCCCATCCTTGCCCTATCATGTCACCTCTACCTAACTTCACCAAGGCCCTCAGGGACTCATATAGGTGAGTTTGGGGGATCTCAGGAGCAAGCATGCTTCCTACCCTACCCATATCAGAAGGAAATGAGAGCCCCTCCTGTTCCTTGGCCTCACATCTCCAAGCCATCCTTCACCGTGCCCGTAGCAAAAATGGTGGTAATGGTAATAGTTACAGTAGTAGAAAAACACTTAGGCATTCTTCTGAGAACATCATGGTCGCAAAGGCACCAGCACCTCATAATAGACATATAAGGTCAGCACTATAGTTATTCTCGGTTGACAGGTGAGGAAACTGAAGCACAGAGAAGCTTGTAAATTGCTCAAAGTCCCAGGAGCCGGGACACCCACCAGGCCATCTGAGCCTTTATCCTGTTGAAACTTGCCAAAGTGAATATTACAGCTGTATTTATATGATGGCGTCTGAGACTCTGGGTGTCACAAACAGTGCCTAGTGCCAAAGACATGGGATTTCATTCTGCTCCAACCACTTCTGTTTTCTATACGAAAGGAAGGAAAGGGGTGGGGGGAGGGAGGATGTGAGTCTGGGCCCCGGGCACATGGGGGGATGCGGGTGCAGCAGGGGGAGTTAAAGTTGGAAAACACCCTGGGCCCCCAGGATGGCCACGCTCAGGACAGGCCCGGGCCTAGCCATCCTCCGCCCATGAATTTCTAGAACAGGAGATCCCAGCTGGGCTAGGAACCATACTAGTTGGACCAATTAACTATGGTCTACACTAGGCAGTGTTTCCAACCTTGAAAAATACACTTAAAATGAAATAAATAAAAAGATGTAGGAATTAAGTGTGAAGGAGCCACATAGAGGCTTGGCCAGGGGCTCAGGAAGGGTAGCGTCCTGTCCAGCTCACCGCGGCACCGCCGGTCCCTGAACTTGGGCAGACGCCAGTAGCTGAGTGGCCGAGGTGGAGAGCAGGGCCGAGGCAGCTGGATGGAAACAGGCTCTGAGAGTGTGTTTCTCTTCCTTCCAACTCCCAGAACCCAAACGGCTGAGTGGTCTGGGCTCCTGGGTTTCAGGAGGTCCCAGGCCTGGGTCTCCACCCCAGAGGGAAGTGGGTTTCTGATGCCCTCCGAGAGCACCCAGCTCTGATCAGCCGGAAGCCCCTGGGGACTCCCACTGCCCCGAGCTCCTCAGCTCGGCATTCCAGGCCCCCCAGCCTTTCTTTCCATTATCTGCCTTGTGATCAAAAACCCCCAGCCGCTTCCTGATAGCACCCAAGCCAGAGCAAACCCCCCTTCCTTGAATCCCCCTGAAAATCACCCACCACAGGCCCGAGTCCATTCTAAGACCTGTTGTGGAAACACCCGTGGTCCCCAAGGTGTGCACTCCCCACGATGGCAGCAACGAGCCCACCTGGTTCAAGCACGGTGTGTCCGTGGTGGCCTCTGCTGAAGTCATCACAGCACCGTATCACGTCACACCAGCTCTGGCCGGTCCCTGTTGCCCTGAAAACGCCCCTTGTCCCCCTTTCCCCTCACTGCTACCTGCGGTGAATTCTTACCTGTCCTGTAAATCTCCGCTTGGACGATACCTCCTCCAGGATGCCTTTCCAACTCTCCAGACTGGCTTTGCTGTGCACGTCTGTGCCTCTGCCCTCTTGAGTCCCTCTCAGGGTCCTGGCAGGCTCCGCCACGGCTGCCTCTTTACCCACCAGACCTCCCTGAGGGCGGGGGCTGGGCCCTGACCGCCTCGGTCTCTGCAAGGACCCAGGGTCCGGCCCCACCCAGAGGAGATGCACAGGGAGGTTCCGGAGCAACCTGGTCTCGACCCCGCCAGCAACATTATCAGCACACGGGTCTGTGCAGGACCTCGGGCCACCTGCCCCGACAGTAATGAGAACAAAGGAGAGTGGCCTGAAAACACTTGCCTTTCTCGTGTCTGCCGCCCCAGTGACTCTGAGTGGGTGAGAAACTGGGGGGACGGCTGGTGATGGGGGCCGACATTCCTCACCAGTCCTCTGGGAGCCAGCGTCCTCCCGAGGGGCAGAGACCAGGGCACGGGTGCCCCCTCACCAGTGGTGTCCAGCACAGGGCAGCCTGATCTTTTCTGCAGGACTCACAGGCTCCAGGCTGGCCTGGGAGTAAAACGGCCCAAGCACAGGCGTCACCAGCAAGCGCATGAGCTACTCTCGCCAGGACCTGCTGGGTTTTTAAAGAGGAACCCTGGACATTCACACGCAAAAAAAAAAGAATGTGGACACAGACTTCACATCCTTCATAGCATCAACTCAAAATGGATCACAGACCCAAATGTAAAATGTGAAGCTATCAAACTCCCAGAATAAAACGTAGGAGAAAATCCAGCGGCCCCTGAGTATGGCAGGTCCCTCAGATGCAACACCAAAGGCACAATCCCCGAGATGATTGCCAGGGGCTGGGCGAGGAGGGATGAGCAGGTGGGGCACAGGGGTGGGATGTTTAGGGCAGTGACCTACTCTGTGTGATACTGTGATGATGTACATGTCATCACACAATTGCCAGGCCCACAGAACGTGCAAAGATTCAATCCTCCCCTCAACCCCACTCAATTTTTCTGTAAACCCCAAACTGCTTAACAACAAAGGCTATTAATGTCAATTTTAAAAGAGGAACCCAAAAGAAAGAACGAAGCCAGAGGGTGACACTGCAGCCAGCAGGCAGGCCTTCTCCGTGGTCCGGTGCTCAAGAGGATTGCCACCGAGCTCAGGCCGGGGATGCTCTCAGTCAACTGACCTCCAGCCAGGTCTGCGGGAAGGCTGAGGGGCCTGGAGGGGAGAGGGTCCTGAGGGCCTCCATGCGGGTTTCTGAGGACCTCCAATCACTTCCTGAGTCAGCAACCGCGCCTTCTGTCATTCTCTCACTCATTCCTCCAGAACGTTGATGGCGTGGTGCCGGCCGAGTGGCCCGCGCGTCAAGCCTCCATTGTTCGTTATTCACAGACTTAGTCATTCATGCATTTAGTCATTTCCTTTGTCTCAAGAAGAAAGCAAATTCCACCTTCCGCCAGCCCCAGCAGAATGACTGGGCACCCCAATCACGGCTGTCGGGATTAATAAGTTTTCTCAGACCCTCATTACCATTTCAGAGACGCTGTCCAAGGTACAGTGGGCAGGGGCACCTCATGCCAGGAAGGTGTTCCTTTACAAGATGAGCAATGAGAAGGTCAATTAAGACAGGGGCCCCCCGGAGGGGAGGCTCCCAGCCCTCCCCAAGTGCACAGAACTGGCCCCCAGAAATGGGTGTACCAGCCGGAAACTGGGGGTGGTGGGGGAGGTGGCAGCCTTGAGGGTCACTGCCCTGGACCACCAGCTCGAGTCCAGGCCTTTAGGGAGTGTTTGCTGGTGGCCACTGTTACAAAAGCCACACGGACAGCCGGGTCTCACCTGTGCGTGTTAATGAACTAATTCACATTCACACACGCATTCATTCAGCCACGTGTGCATCTTCAACTGTTTCATGAACATCTAGTGTGTCCTTCCTAAGGAGCCCACACATTTATTTATGAACTCACACGTCCACAGTGCAGGCAGGCACACATGCATTCAGTCCTGTAGGCTGTGTGGGTTTTGCAGGGGCAGACAGCCGCGTGGGTCGGGGGCCACTGGGAGAGCAGGCAATGCTTCCTGGGGAGGGGGCATCAGAGTGCTGTGTGGGGAAGGCCTGGAGTTGCTCTAAGCCACAGCAGCAGGGAAACCCCAGGCACCAACAAGAGTGAATCTTCCAGGTGGCAGAGGTCATGCCGCCATCCAGGGAGTTGGCTGGCTCTCAGAGGGCGTCTCGGTTTTGGGGTCCAAACCGTGCGGGCTGTGGGCACCCCCATACCCACAGCACATCAGAACCCACCTGGCCGGCCCTACAATGCCCAGCGAGGGGCACGCTGTGGCCAGTGCAGCAATTGACAATGAAACACTCATCACTACTGGCAGAGCCCTGACATACGGCACGGAGAGAGCAAAAAGAGTCATCTGTCACTTAGTAGTTGTGTCAACAAAGCTCTATTTGGAAGTGAATTCAACCT